TGGTTTCCAGTTCCAGTGTGGAAAGGAGACTGGTTTCCAGTTCCAGTGTGGAAAGGAGACTGGTTTCCAGTTCCAGTGTGGAAAGGAGACTGGTTTCCAGTTCCAGTGTGGAAAGGAGACTGGTTTCCAGTTCCAGTGTGGAAAGGAGACTGGTTTCCAGTTCCAGTGTGGAAAGGAGACTGGTTTCCAGTTCCAGTGTGGAAAGGAGACTGGTTTCCAGTTCCAGTGTGGAAAGGAGACTGGTTTCCAGTTCCAGTGTGGAAAGGAGACTGGTTTCCAGTTCCAGTGTGGAAAGGAGACTGGTTTCCAGTTCCAGTGTGGAAAGGAGACTGGTTTCCAGTTCCAGTGTGGAAAGGAGACTGGTTTCCAGTTCCAGTGTGGAAAGGAGACTGGTTTCCAGTTCCAGTGTGGAAAGGAGACTGGTTTCCAGTTCCAGTGTGGAAAGGAGACTGGTTTCCAGTTCCAGTGTGGAAAGGAGACTGGTTTCACTGGTAGAAGACCCAATGGTGGGTCCAGACCATGAGGTGATGTCACCTAATACAGAATGATGTCATTAAAATGTGAGAAGGAGCTCAGGAACGACCCTCTATGTCACTGGTTCTCAACCTGTGGGTCGCGCCACACAGTTGAGGGTGTCCCCACGTGCCTTGTGCTGCTCTAGAGGCTCCTCAGCCTCCTCCTAGCATGGCAGTGTCAGTCCTCCTAGATGGCGCTACAAAGGATCAGAGAGAGGGGAGCGGGCAGGAGTGAGGGGAGGTGAGTGCGCCCCACACAGATACTAGTATTGGTGCATCCCTAAATTTTACGGTTGGGGGGGTCACCACATCTTGGCAAATGTTACCAAGGGGTCCTAGAAAGGTTGAGAACCACTGCTCTATGTTCTTACAAATATGGCGTCTCATAGTGTCCCCCAACAAGGAAGAGGACATGCTACATGGGACACGTGGGGGGGGTGACTCTTCTGACATCCAGCGAGTCTGCTGGTTGTCCAACTCATGGGGCAAAATGGCGGATTTGATACCCCGGTGTATTGATAGCGCTGAGCCCTATAGCTGGGGGTGTCACCGGGGAGACGATGAACCGGTGCCAGTTTTATACGGTGTCACCTGGATGGGTTAGACATGGTGATCCCCGTGCAGGGCAGCCATCAGAAATTTTGGGGCCCCTTACACGGCTTTAGGCCGGGCCCCCCCCACCGCGCGCGCCGCAGGACGCAGGACCCACCTGAGAGTGACCCTGCAGAGCCCACCATAGATGCTGCACAGCGCATCTGAGACTGTCTATGGTGGGCTCTGAATGGGTCTCAGGTGGGCTGGTCAGTGCTGCATCCCTCCCTTCCCTCCTTTCCTTCCTTCCTTCCTCGCTCCTCTTACCTGCACACATGGCTTCCTCTGCCGCCGGACCGGCCAGAAGTGACGTCACTTCCGGCCAGTCCGACATCAGACGAGCAGCGCCGCTGATGGGGCCCCAGCTTGTCTCAAAGCCGCTGGAGCGGCAATGCTGGGGCCCTGCGCTGCTAGGGCCAGGCCTCCTCGCCCTTCACCGGTGGCCGATAGTCGTGTAAGGGGCCCTGCGGCTGTCATTTCCTTCCTCTGGACTCCCCACCCCGTCAGTATTTGTGCCGGGCCTTCCAATGCCGTGACGGGCAGCTCGAGCCTCTGCGTGCTCTCCACATGAAACCTTCATAGATTATTCATCAGCCAATCCCTGGAGAGGCCGAGCCGCCTCCACCTCACACCACGAACACATTCCATATCCTCAGCTTCACCTCCCGTCCCCAACCACCGCTGTATGCCGCCCGCTATACACTGTATACACACACTCACTGCATTAGAGTGTAAGCTCCTCTGTACAGAGACTGATGTGACTGTGGGGGGAGGGGACATTAGAGTGTAAGCTCCTCTGTACAGAGACTCATGTGACTGTGG